TTCCTCAATTTTTGTTCGCAGGATATCTCAAGAATGGCAAAAGCCATTGTCATGAAACTTTCAATGATGATAGATCTTAGTCTAACTTAGAACTGCATGACTTTTCAAAGACTCAAAATTATCGTGACGTCATCCAGGCGCCATTTTGTGAAAATCAACTTATAATATTATCTTCATAACGGAAAGTAATTTTTCATTCATATTTATCATGAATAAGATCAATATCCTACCGGTCAATTTCAGATCAAAAAACGTGCGCGAATCTGCGCGTACGCGTCCGTGCGCGCGTTAATGCGCGCGCAAAAATTTAAAATTCTCTAAATCGTCTTAAATTTTTTTTTGCGTACGTTTCAGGCCGTTTTAAGCATTTCCCAAAAAAATCGCGCACACGCGCATGCGTGCGCGTTTCCGCGCGTACTGGCATTTTGCAACATAGAATCGCCGAATTTTTTCTGAAATCATATTTGGTACATTTTTCCAAGCATTTTGATAACTTGTTCACCTTTTAATAACGCAATGAGCGTCCGTCAAAGTTGACAGCACGCGCGGATCTGCGTTATCTTTATCCACAATACATGGGCAAAAACATGCCTATACAAAATTCATTGTAACTCTTCAGAATAGATAGGAACTCCCAATATTTGTTTATATGTGGATAAACTATGAAATGGAGATATGATTTCATGTCTCATTTGACCCTCAATTAACTCATGATGTCATCATAATGGTCTCCGAACCTCAAAATTTAAATTTGCATATTATGACATTTGCATATTTTTTGAAAATTGATTGTATCTCTGTAAATGTTGATTGTTTTTCTCCTAAATTTCGATATGTTCTAGCTGAGATAATTTTCTACAAATGCAGTGTCCACAATTTTCCATTTTGACAAAGGTACCATGGCGTATTTTTGCGATTAAAGGAGGCATGTCATTTTTTCACATTTTGCGTGTATTGTCTATGGGACATGACTATTTCTCAAAACTGGATTCTATATTTCCGTCTTTCGCGAGCAATATCTTTGTTGTTTTATCTTTGTTTACGCTGAGGTTCAAGTACGTTGTAGCAGAGACAATAAGCTATTTCAAATGTGCCTTTTATTTTTTGATCAGATGCCGGGTTCATGCTCATATTGCACTTGCAAAGTGGGATTTGAGAATCCCATTTTCCGTTTACGTGTATTCGCTATGGGAATTGTTTTGGTATATCGTTAACGCACTTGACTTCTATCCTCGAGGTCCTTGGTTCGAGTCCGGGCGTCTCCAACAATTTTTTTTCTTCACTTTTTTTTCTTTTTGACCTTTCACTGTACCATCTCCTTTGATTATTAAAACACGTAGATCCGCAAATAATGTAATAAACTATTTGCTTTATTATTACCCTATTTTCACTTAAACGATTACTTTTTGTGTCTAATCCCTATGGGAGATGACTTTTCCTCAAATCTGGATTCTACATTTCTGTCTTTTGAGAGCAATATCGCCGTTATTCCTCCTTGGATTTTGATGATTTTTGAGGATGTAGTAGCTGAGACTATATGCTATCTAATTCACCCAACATTTTGTTAATAAAACATCAGGATCACGCTCATGATCATGATCATCTTCATTATCATCATGATCATCATTATCATAATGATGATAATCATTTATCAATTACATTTTCATTTCTTTGAATAAGATAAAATCGACAAAATGTGTTCTTCATGATGTAAATTAGAGTCAAAGGTGTAACCGGTTACTGCATAGAGTCAATGGTCATAAATTGTTACAATCTATCTTCCTTAGATTCATAATGATCAAGGGAAAGACACAATTTAAACTTGACATATGGATAGATCATAATGGCAAAAGTATTTTATAAAATAATATGATATCGTGTATTAAATGCATTCTTCGTTATGTAAACCATTATCATACGTATCACCTAATTCGTCTAAGTGACGAATTAAAGTCTAGTTATTTATTTATTTATTTATTTATTTATTATTATTCTTCCTCGAATTTGTTCGCAGGATATCTCAAGACTGAATAAAGCCATTATCATGAAACTTGCCATGATGATAGATCTTAGTCTAGCTTAGAACTACGTGACTTTTCAAAGACTCAAAATTATCGTGACGTCATCCAGGCGCCATTTTGTGAAAATAAACTTATGATCATATCTTCATAACGGAAAGGAATTTTTCATTCATATTTATCAGGAAGAAGATCAATATCCATCCGGTCAATTTCAGATCAATAAACGTGCGCAAATGCGCGCGTGCGCGTTCGTACGCGCGTTTACGCGCGCGAAAAAAATTAAAATGCTCCAAATCATCCCAAATTTTTTTTGCATACGTTTCAGGCCATATGGAGCATTTGACAAAAAATCACGCAAACGCGCATGCGCGCGCGTTTTTTGCGCGTACTAGCATTTTGCAACATAGAATCGCCGAATGTTCTCTATCATCATATTTGGTACATCTTTCCAAGCATTTTGATAACTTGTTCACCTTTTAATAACGCAATGAGCGTCCGTCAAAGTTGACAGCGCGCGCGGACCTGCGTTATCTTTATCCACAATACATGAGCAAAAACATGTCTATACAAAATTCTTTGTAACTCTTCAGAATAGATAGAAACTCCCTATATTTTTTCATATTTAGATAGGTTATAAGTTGGAGATATGATTTCATGTCTCATTTGACCCTCAATTAACTCATAACGTCATCATAATGGCCTCCAAACTCAAAATTTCAATTTGCATATTATGACGTCAGCATAATTTTGGAAAATTGATTGTATCTCTGTAAATATTGATTGATTTTCTTTTAAATTTTGATATGTTCTACCTGAGACAATTTTCTACAAATAAATAATCCACAATTTTCCATTTTGACAAAGGCATCATGGCGTATTTTTGCAATCAAAGAAGGCATGTCAATTTTTCACATTTTACGTGTATTCTCTATGGGACATGACTTTTTCTCAAAACTGGATTCTACACTCCTGTCTTTCGCGAGCAAAATCTCTGTTGTTTTAGCTTCGTTTTCGCTGAACTTCGGATATGTTGTAGCTGAGACAATGAGCTATCACAAGTGCGCCCTTTATTTTTCGATTAGATGCCGGGATCATGCTCATATTTCACTTGCAAAGTAGGATTTCAGAATTCCATTTCCCGTTTACGTGTAATCGCTATGGGAAATGTTTTGGTATATCGGTAACGCACTTGACTTCCAATCTCGAGATCCCTGGTTCGAGTCCGGGTGTCTCCAACAATTTGTTTCTTCACTTTTTTTTCCTTTTGACCTTCACTGTACCATCTCCTTTGATTATTAAAACACGTAGAATCGCAAATAATGTCACAAACAACCCTTTTTACTTTATTATTACCCTATTTTCACTTAATCCATTACTTTTTGCGTGTAATCTCTATGGGAGATGACTTTTTCTCAAATCTGGAGTCTACATTCCTGTCTTTTGCGAGCAATATCGCCGTTATTTCTGCTTGGATTTTGTTGACTTTTGAGTAAGTTGTAGTTGAGACTATATGCTATCTAAATCAACCCTCATTTTTTCAATAAGATGTCATGATCGCGCTCATGATCATGATCATTATCATCATGATCATCATTATCATAATGATGATAATCATTTATCAATCACATTTTCATTTCTTTGAATAAGATAAAATCGTCAAAAGGTGTTCTTCATGATGTAAATTAGAGTCAAATGTGTAACTGGTTACTGCACAGGGTCAAAGGTCATATATTGTTTCAATCTATCTTCCCTAGATCCATGATGATCAAGGAGACACAATTTAATCTTGACATATGAATAGATCATAATGGGAGAAGCATATAAATGGGAGAAGCATTTTACAAAATAATATATCGTGTAATGCATTATTCGTTATGTAAACCATTATCATACGTATCACCTAATTCGTCTAAGTGACGAATTAAAGTCTAGTTAGGTGATACGTATGAAATATACGTATCACCTTTTGATTTCGTCAAGATTTTTATTATTATTTATTTATTTATTTATTTATTATTATTCTTCCTCGAATTTGTTCGCAGGATATCTCAAGACTGAATAAAGCCATTATCATGAAACTTGCCACTATGATAGATCTTAGTCTAACTTAGAACTGCGTGACTTTTTAGAGAGTCAAAATTATCGTGACGTCATCCAGGCGCCATTTTGTGAAAATCAACTTATGATCATATCTTCATAACGGAAAGGAATTTCTCATTCATATTTATCATGAACAAGGTCAATATCCGTCCGGTCAATTTCAGGTCAATAAATGCGCGCAAAACTGCGCGTACGCGTAAGTGCGCGCGTTAACGCGCGCGTAAAATTTTAAATTGCTCTAAATCGTTTAAAAAAAATTTGCATACGTTTTAGGCCATTATAAGCATTTCATAAAAAATCGCGCAAAACACGCATTTTTGCACGTTTTCGTTTGTCACGGCCGAACGAAAAATAATTCCTCGTTGTTTTGACAGGATATTCCTCATATTTTTCTGAACAAGTTGATACCATTTGTATCTCTTTATCACTATTAATAACGGAATGAGCGTCCGTTGAAGATAAATATCCGTGCGTGCGAGCTCATGTATTACAGAGCATATATGGGCAAAAACATGCCTATAAAAAGTACATCGGGATGAATAAGGACTGCCATTTTTTTTTCATATTTAGATATAGTATGAGTTGGAGATATGACTTCATGTCTCATTTGGCCATGAAGTATATTTTTACATAATCATATTGACCTTGGAACTCAAAATACGAATTTGCATATTATGACGTCAACATGTTTACGGAAAATTATTGTATCTCTGCAAATATTGATCAATTTTCTTCTAAATTGTTGTAGGTGAGACAATTCTTCACAAGATTATTACCAATATTTATTCATTTTGATGACGTCATTAGATTTTTGCTTAATATGCGTCTTATGCCTATGGGAGGTGATTGATACTACAGCAGCTGTATAGGGCCTTTGAGGGAGTTTTTAATCCGGGGGTATTAATCCCTTTTAATCCTTAATCCTTTTTAATGACTTCCATAAAACAATAGGGAAGAGGAAATGAAATTTAACGAGGTATTTCCGGTCAGGATGTGTGTTAATTAATGCAGGTATTTCCTGTCAGGATGTGTGTGAATTAATGCAGGTAGTTTTTTTCATGGAAAGGGGGGCATCTGGGTCATAAAACTTGAATTATGAGGGTCTTTCCTCTGGAGGAAGTGTTTACATCATGGAGTCATCATCATGGGAGAGGTCTGGGGATGGACGTGTTACTGATAGGACGGGCAATGACCAAATGACCAAAACAATGGGCCTGTGCCAGTTATGTTGCTTGTACGCAGGTACGTATTCCGACCAATGAGAATGCGAGTATCCTTCTTGTTGGAGTGACGTCACCATTGTGCGTGCTTGTGATTGGATGAGGAAAAAAGGATGGGGTGACTGAGAGGGCGTAACCTAAGGGGTGAGGTAAGGTATAAACGTCGGAGGATTCGCACCATTTTGTATCATAGACATCAGCGCTAAATTAGTGAATCATGCATGAGCCATTCATAGCTAATTAGCATTAATTAAAAGAACAATAGACTAATTAAGAGCTCCTTCCCCCATTTCCATCTTGAATTAGCAATTTTTCCTCTTTGATTGTCAGAAGAGCGGAAGTTTTCAGACGCTGCGAATGGATGATTTCAATTAATCGTCTTGCTTTTGATTGGTGAAAGAAGACCCATGCTTGGTGGTGATTGGGCAACTAATTAAAGGAGTGCGTTGTGATTGGTCGTGGAGTGTGGTGCATTGAGACGTGTAGTGAAGAGACTAAATATACACCAGGGTGGTGTTGAGATAAGGTATCACATTCAGCACTGAGCTACAATTCGTTCTTTGAAAGCATCTCTATAGCATATACCACACGTAGGTCTAACTCTTCATATATAACCATGATGGCCACTCGCTCACCGAAAAAGTCTACCACTACAACAGCCACCATCCACAACACTGTGTTAAACACGCCTAAGATCAGGATGATACCAGAGAACAACGCCACCAATGTCTTACATCGGGCCAGTTTTTCAATGTCTCCGGTGGAGCAGAAGAAGCTCAAACCAGCAACCCCTCCTGAACTCTTGGCAATGAGGGTAAGTGTCCATAGTCAAGTAATATACTGATTTGTTTTACAAATTCAATATATCATGTTATGCTATGTGTTATTAATTTTGTTTGTAAACTTTTGTAATTCGGCTTAACGCCGCGATGAAAGTTTTATTTGAAATAAACCATTTTGAATTGATTTGATTGAATTATATTATATGTATACTCTTTAATTTAAATGTTAATACTATACCTTACTGTCTTTGAAAATAAGAGTATCTTTGCATTAATAGATGCATTGCAAGTGAACTGCGTGAGAGAAGTGAAGCATGCGTATGCATTCCAACAAACTCGATTTAAAACAATTATATTCACGGTGTTGTCTTCTTTTCTTCTTTTTTTGTTGTTGTATCATAGGCACAAGGTGACAGAAAATGCGAAAGTTGGATTACGGGTAAGGAAGAGGCGGGGTGTCATTTTAGTCAGGAGATAATTAACGTGGAAAAATGTAAATTTGAAGCAGGTTCGAAACCATTTCATTTGGGTGGGAAGCGTTTTGCTGTAGTCAAGAAATTCAGGGGGGTCCCATACGTGAACATTCGAGAATACTACAACACGAAAGGTACTAACAGGATGCTCCCGGGGCAGAAGGGTATCAATTTAACGGGAGAAAATTGGTGGAAATTGGTCAAGGCCAAATTTGAAATCAGCGATGCTGTCAGAGATTTGAGTAACGTGAAGAAATAGTTTTACAACTTGATGTTTTTGTTTGGGGTTTTGGTTTTTTGATAATACAACATAATAAACAAAAAGGAAGAATAAAAAAGAAATTAAAAAAAGTAGATAGTTCAAAAAATACCTGATTGACGCTCCTCCCTTTTTCCGTGACCAGGATACAATCGCCGAAAATGAATCAAAAACTTTCAAGATCCTTGCTCACTGCACATGGACAGCTATCTCCTTCACCACCACTCACACCAGAAGTCGCGATTATCGGATATTCTCCATTGAGACCCCCAGTTGTCCGCCAACTGCGGAGGCAGAATGCAGTCATAGAAGGAGTGACTACCCCAAGGGGAACAAGCAGACCTCCATCTCCATCATCCTCCTCGGGTCAGATGGAAGTAGACGTACCTGAAAAGGCCCTAGAAGTCTCCAGAAACTTAGCAGAAAGCGAGGAGATGGAGGTGGCTGCGGAGGAAGAGGAGGAGGAAGAGAAAGACGACAGAGTAGACACAGATGTCAGATTGCAGGAGACGGTGACGATGGAGGCGAAAGACGGCATACATTTTCCTGTAGCACCTGTCCTACACTGTAAAAGCCGTCAAGGCAGTTTCGGGTCTTATAAACGAGGCGGTGCATCAGTCGTGCACAGGATGCAGACTCAACTATCCTAGCCAGAAAGACCATGAGGACTGTATGTGGTTAGAGTGGCCAGACAAGACAGACAAGTATTTCGATGAGGCCATCACTAAGCTCACCGAGGAACGATACTTTTGCATCGTTAAATTGGTTTACATCGTGATCGTGAATAAAATGTTTGAGGAGGAGTTGGACGCTTGCGTGCATGGAAGGAGCCACACATTTGTTCACAACGAACTGAAAAAGAAGGACGTTTTGTCAATCATCATGAGCAAACTAAAGGAGCTTTAACCGGAAATTTTAAAAAGTGGATTTCGTTTACCCTTTTGAAGTCATGTATCCACGTTGTTTGTTTTTTTAAACAAAAATTCTTTATAATGTATAGGTTTAATAAAAGTAGCAATGACGATTGCGAATGAAAAAAAAATAGAACATTACTTTTGTTGCATTCTCATATTTTCGTGCAAATAGTTTTCCCGCTTGCAACCAGATTGAAGTGTATGCTGAATGTCATTAGTGATGTGCACGTGGAAGTGACGATTGGGTATTGGAAGAATACGTGGGAAAGATATACTCATCCGAAGCATGAAACTGGTTTTAGTGGTGGTGAGAAACTATTTCGATTTGTCAAGAAAGAAGGTGTGATTGAGTTGTCGAGAAAACAAATAAAGCAATGACTGGAAAGTGATGTTACCTCGGTTGTGGATTTTGAAAATAGTATCTTCGCGTTCTCCTTTCAATTAATGCGATTATTTTACCTAACCAGATTGAAGTGTATGCTGAATGTCATTAGTGATGTGCACGTGGAAGTGACGATTGGGTATTGGAAGAATACGTGGGAAAGATATACTCATCCGAAGCATGAAACTGGTTTTAGTGGTGGTGAGAAACTATTTCGATTTGTCAAGAAAGAAGGTGTGATTGAGTTGTCGAGAAAACAAATAAAGCAATGACTGGAAAGTGATGTTACCTCGGTGTTACCTATACTATTCATCGTCCGTTGTGAGACGGAAATTTACGAGAAGTAGAGTCATAGCGTATGGGATAGTTGATGTATAGCAGATGGACTTGGCGGATTTGCCACTTGAAATGACATATGTAAAGGTAGCAATAGGAAAATGATTAGACGTTATAATTTTGACAAGACACTGTGATTCGTGTCTTCGCGTAACGTCTCTTTCAATTATGCGATTATTTTACCTACTTGAGACAATGATCAGCAGTCTGATTTTTTTTTTTTATAAGCGGTAGACACGAATTAGTTCTCTCTTTTATTAGAAATGTAAACAAATAATGATCAACCTTTTTGCACTTTTATTTATGCTATGGCGTCATTGGTTTTCTTAAGACAAGTACATGTATTTGTCTCTTGTAATGTCTATGCAGTGTAGACACAAAGCGCGTATTGATACCAAAAAGAAGGAAAAAAAAGCGATAACAATTACCAATTGAGTACAAATACAGGTTATAACAGGTTATGGAATCGCTAACTGCTAATGATTTTTTTTTTTAACAGAAACATAAATAATGTGTACGACAAAACGGCAGAGTAATTTTAAGTCTATAGACGTTATGATATTCGTATGACATACTTATATTTAATTACGTCTTGCTTTACGTTCTGCCTTATAAAGAACTTTCAAACTATGGAAACTTGTGAACCCACAGTTGATTGATTTATTATTAAATTGTTGACCACTATCTTTTGGACAAAACAAAATCAATTTCACAAACCAATAATTTTTTGTTTTCACTTTGAAAAATTGATGCAAAAAAAAAGTGTTAACGCCTGTTCGCTTTTTTTAAAAATTTGTTTTAACTTTTTGTCAAGACGTTATTTATTTTTCTTTAAAAAAGTGTTATGACTTTTTCTTTATAAGATTTTTTTGCACGAGTCGATCATTCTCCCCTCCCCCTTTGAAGTCTTGATGTAGAACCAAAAAAAAAGCATTTGCGCCTGACTTGATGTACAAAGAGCATTAGCGCCTTTACACCTTCTTAATTTTGTTCTTTAAAGAAAAAAACTTTCTGTCATTACGTTTTTCTTTTTCTTATAAAAAGTTTCATAATATATATATATATATATATTTGTAGATCATTTTGCACGAACCAATCATATTTTTTTTTCCACTTTGAAGACTTGATTCTTTAAAGGCGTTATTTTTTTTTCTTTAAAAAAGATGTATTACTGTTTCTTTAAAAGATAATTTTGCACGAATCGATCTTTTTTTCCACTTTGAAGACTTGATGCAAAAAAGTGTTAACGCCTGTACGCTTTTTAAAATTTTGTTTTAACATTTTTGTTTTGTTTTAACTTTCTGTCAAGATGTTTTTTTTTTTTTTTCTTTTTTTTTTTCTTTAAGTGTTATAACTTTTTCTTTATAAGATTATTTTGCAGGAGTCGATCATTTTTTTTTCTCCCCCCCCCCCTTTGAAGACTTGATGTACAAAAAGCTTTTTTTTTTTTTTTGTGATCATTTTGCACGAACCGATCATTTTTTTTTCCACTTTGATTCTCTCAAGACGTTATTTCTTTTTCTTTGAAATAGATTTTATACCTTTTTTTTTTTAAAGATCATTTTTGCACCAACCGATCTTTTTTTTTCCTACCACTTTGAAGACTAGATGCAAAAAAAAAACAAAAACAAAAAAAAGTGTTAACGCCTGTAGACTTTTTTTGTATTTGTTTTAAATTGTTTTGATTTAACTTTCTGTCAAGACGTTATTTCTTTTTCTTTATAAGATTATTTTGCAAAACTCGATCATGCGGTGAGATGTAGAAGCATCTCGCCTAGCGAGATGCGTCTTCGTGATTTTACGGAGACACATCTCACCGCATTCTACTATGCAAGACTTGTATTGAACGCAGATTTCTACACCTCATGTTTTTTATGTTATCTGAAATTTCTTGGCAATCGGTTTGTCGAAGAATGGAGTACCACATTTTATCTATAATATGCATACAATCCACACACAAATTTTTGTATACCTTTGGAGCTGAAAACAATTATTATTCCGAGAATTCTGTACCAATGTTCATTTATACGAGACATGCGGAACATTCCCTACTCTTAATCACAAGACCTACTAAAGTTCACTCATGTGGAGCACCCTATCGCCTGAATTACGTACAAGTATATTATCTTTATTATCATCGAAGATGTAATATGAACAGATAAGTATTGTGAATGCCCTCTGTCTTTTGATTCATATTTATATTGATATTGGCTGTATTGTCATATTTTGTAAACCTGTTTTTTGGAGTTATGCTGTGTCATTGTTCTAAATCTTAGTTTTGAATATTGTTGTACTTTATTCTTGTTTCTATTGTATTATAATTTATATAATATGTTTTTTCATTATAAATGCATTTGAACTATAAAGATGGGGCCCCCTTCGAAGATCATTATTCGATATTGAAAGGGCCGTCCTGGCTATTAAAAAAAAAAATGACAAAAAATAAATAAAAATAAAAAATATAATAATAAAAATATATACAATTCGTTTCTTAAACATGCATCCATATAAAAGTAGTTCTCAATCTTGTCGGAACTTGTACATTATTACGAGAGAAAAATTTGTGTCAGGTCTGTATAGAAACAAGGAATAACGCCTTGACGGAAAGTAAAATATAAAAATAAAGTAAGAAAATGTACAGGTATTAATACTTTTTGCATCAAGTCTTGAAATGGGGTTAAACATATCGATTCGTACAAAAAAGCATCAACGTCTGTACACTTTCTTTCTTTTTCTTTTTCTTTTTTAAAACTTTCTTTCATTACGTTATTTTGTTTTTCTTTAACATTTTGTATAATTTGTTGGATCATTTTGTACGAATCAAGGTATCCAAAGGTATACAAAAATTTGTGTGTGGATTGTATGCATATTATAGATAAAATGTGGTACTCCATTCTTCGACAAACCGATTGCCAAGAAATTTCAGATAACATAAAAAACATGAGGTGTAGAAATCTGCGTTCAATACAAGTCTTGCATAGTAGAATGCGGTGAGATGTGTCTCCGTAAAATCACGAAGACGCATCTCGCTAGGCGAGATGCTTCTACATCTCACCGCATGATCGAGTTTTGCAAAATAATCTTATAAAGAAAAAGAAATAACGTCTTGACAGAAAGTTAAATCAAAACAATTTAAAACAAATACAAAAAAAGTCTACAGGCGTTAACACTTTTTTTTTTTTTTTTTTTTTTTTGCATCTAGTCTTCAAAGTGGTAGGAAAAAAAAAGATCGGTTGGTGCAAAAATGATCTTTTAAAAAAAAAAGGTATAAAATCTATTTCAAAGAAAAAGAAATAACGTCTTGAGAGAATCAAAGTGGAAAAAAAAAATGATCGGTTCGTGCAAAATGATCACAAAAAAAAAGAAGAAGCTTTTTGTACATCAAGTCTTCAAAGGAGGGGGGGGGGGAGAAAAAAAAATGATCGACTCCTGCAAAATAATCTTATAAAGAAAAAGTTATAACACTTAAAGAAAAAAAAAAACGAAAAAAAAAAACAAAACATCTTGACAGAAAGTTAAAACAAAACAAAAATGTTAAAACAAAATTTTAAAAAGCGTACAGGCGTTAACACTTTTTTGCATCAAGTCTTCAAAGTGGAAAAAAAGATCGATTCGTGCAAAATTATCTTTTAAAGAAACAGTAATACATCTTTTTTAAAGAAAAAAAAATAACGCCTTTAAAGAATCAAGTCTTTAGCATGGGTCTTCTTTCACCAATCAAAAGCAAGACGATTAATTGAAATCATCCATTCGCAGCGTCTGAAAACTTCCGCTCTTCTGACAATCAAAGAGGAAAAATTGCTAATTCAAGATGGAAATGGGGGAAGGAGCTCTTAATTAGTCTATTGTTCTTTTAATTAATGCTAATTAGCTATGAATGGCTCATGCATGATTCACTAATTTAGCGCTGATGTCTATGATACAAAATGGTGCGAATCCTCCGACGTTTATACCTTACCTCACCCCTTAGGTTACGCCCTCTCAGTCACCCCATCCTTTTTTCCTCATCCAATCACAAGCACGCACAATGGTGACGTCACTCCAACAAGAAGGATACTCGCATTCTCATTGGTCGGAATACGTACCTGCGTACAAGCAACATAACTGGTACAGGCCCATTGTTTTGGTCATTTGGTCATTGCCCGTCCTATCAGTAACACGTCCATCCCCAGACCTCTCCCATGATGATGACTCCATGATGTAAACACTTCCTCCAGAGGAAAGACCCTCATAATTCAAGTTTTATGACCCAGATGCCCCCCTTTCCATGAAAAAAACTACCTGCATTAATTCACACACATCCTGACAGGAAATACCTGCATTAATTAACACACATCCTGACCGGAAATACCTCACTTCTCTCACGCAGTTCACTTGCAATGCATCTATTAATGCAAAGATACTCTTATTTT